TATGGGAGCAAAGAGGGAGAAGGAGTGGGAGGGAGATGATGAGAGTGAACTGATCTGCAGGTACAGGTAAAGCTGGTGTGGGTGGCCGGAAACATGGGGCTGTTGGGGCAGCTCACACCCGGGGGCTGCACAAACCCTGGGGGGCTGCACAAACCTGGGGTCTGCATGCATCTGGGGGGACTGTACCCTCAGCTGGGAGCCAGAGCTGTTGGTGAGCACTGGAGGGGTGGGAGAGAAGGCGAGCACTGGGCTGGAGTGGGCAGTGGGTAGGGCAGGGGAGGCTCAGCCCTGAAAGGAGGGTCCCCAAAGCCCCCTGGCAGGGGGGTGATGCTGGGGGTCTCCCTGCTCTGGGTCTCTGTCCCTGTGCAGGGCTGGGTCGGGGTGAGAGGAGCTGGGTGCTGACACCTTGCCCTGCTCCCAGCCCCGGTGTGTTCATCAGCGTCACCCAAGCCACTGCAGCAGAGGTGCCATGGGGCCAGGCTGTGCCAGCATCCTGGGCTGGCTCCTGCTGGCACAGGCAGCCCTGCAGGCCACAGGTACGTGTCCCTGGGCTGTGCAGGGTGGTGGGTTTGGGGTCTGTGGTGGGTCAGAGGGGTGAGCTGGGCTCCTGCCGCAGCCCTCGTGCCTGCCCGGTCTCTCCTGTGCCACAGGCGGCCGTCCCTGTGATGCCAAGGACTTTGGGCACGGCTCGCTGGTCTGCGCCTGCAGTGCCATGTACTGCGACACGCTGGACCCCCTGGTCCTGCCGGCCCCCGGCTCCTACGTCAAGTACGAGAGCAGCAAGGTTGGCAAGAGGCTGGAGCGGAGCGAGGGGAGGTTCCAGCACAACGCCGAGAGCCCAGGTACCGCCCCGGCCAGGACCTGCTGCCCACCCGGGGACAGAGTCTGTCCCACATGTGTGTGACTCTGTGTGTCCCCCCCCCAGATTTCCACCTCACCCTGGACACGGCGCAGCGGTACCAGAAGGTGAAGGGCTTTGGGGGCTCCATCACTGACGCAGCCGCCATCAACATCCAGTCCCTGTCCCAGGCTGCCCAGAACCACCTGCTCCGCTCCTACTTCTCCGAGGAAGGTGAGCCCGGGGCAGGGCGGCACTGCTGGGTGACAGGGCTGGGGGTGCTGTGCCCGCAAATACACCCTGGCAGTGCCCATCACCACCCACCCTGTCCCCAGGCATCGAGTACAACCTCGTGCGTGTGCCCATGGCCAGCACCGACTTCTCCGTCCGCCTGTACACCTACGCTGACGCCGAGGGAGACTTTGAGCTCAAACACTTCAACCTGACAGAGGAGGACACAAGGATGAAGGTGGGTCCTGCAGGAACAGCCCAAGGGACCAGGGCTGCTACCTGGGTGGGATGGGACAAAATCAAGTTGGGACAGGATGGGATTGGCTTGGGATAGGATGGGCTTCGAAAGGGGAGTACTTTCCTGCTGATGGGGAGGGAGAAGGACTCATTCTTCCATCGGGATGGGATGGGATGGGATGGGATTGGATGAGATGGGATGAGATGGAGAAGGGGAGTTCTGTCTCACTGATGGAGAGAGAAAGGCCTCATCTTTCTATCTGGGTGGGAGACAGGATGGGACAGGATGGAATGGGACATGATGGGAAGGAATGGGATGGGAAGGGAATGGATGGGGAAGGGGAGCACCTTCCTGCCAGTGGGGAGGGAGAGGACTCATCCTGCCCCCTGGCTGAGATGAGATGGACTAGAATGGAATGGGTTGGGATAGGGAAGGGGAGCACCTTCCCACCTCTGGGGAGGGAGAGGAGGACTCCTGCTGCCTGCACTGCCAGTGCTGGGGCAGACCTGGAGAGCTCTCTGCCATCCCTCTTCTCCCCAGATCCCCATCCTCCAGGCGGCCCAGGCGGTGGCCAAGCGGCCACTGTCCCTCTATGCCAGCCCCTGGACCTCCCCCGTCTGGATGAAGACGAATGGTGCGATGACAGGGAGGGGGACACTGAAGGGCAACCCTGGAGACAAGTACCACAAGGCCTGGGCCAAGTACTTCATCAGGTGAGGGGCCACGGGAGCACGGCGGGTGCCAGGGGTGCTGTGCCGGGGCTGGGGCTGGCACGGGTGCGACGGGGCCGTTCACCGTCTGCCCCACACCAGGTTCCTGGATGAATACGCCAAGCACAACCTGACCTTCTGGGCAGTGACGGCAGGGAACGAGCCCACGGCCGGGGAGATTGTTTTCTACCCCTTCCAGTGCCTGGGCTTCTCCCCCGAGCACCAGCGGGATTTCATCGCCCAGGACCTGGGCCCGGCGCTGGCCAACAGCTCCCACCACCACGTCCAGCTCATCATCCTGGACGACCAGAGGGTGATGCTGCCCTACTGGGCCCAGGTGGTGAGTCCTCACGGCAGCTTTCCCAACCCCACAGTGGGTCTTCTGCCCCCATGGCAGCACTCCCAGCCCCACAGCAGTTCTCCCAGTCCCACAGCAGCTATTCCAGCCCTGGGCACTGGTGACCCCTTTCTCCTGCCAGGTTCTCAAAGACCCCGTGGCTGCCAGCTACATCAGTGGCATCGGCATCCACTGGTACCTGGACTTCCTGGCACCCATCGACCTGACTCTCTCCATCACCCATCACCTCTTCCCGGACTATTTCCTCCTCTCCACAGAGGCCTCCACGGGCTCCTACTTTTGGGAGCCCAGGGTGGTGCTGGGTGGCTGGGACCGTGGGAGCAAGTACAGCCACAGCATCCTCACGGTAGGGCTGGGCAGGGGCCGGGGATGCACCAGCCACCTCCTGTGGCTCAGCACCGGGACTCAGCTCCATCCCCTGCCCTGCAGAACCTCAACAACTACGTGACAGGCTGGACCGACTGGAACCTGGCCCTGGACATGGAGGGGGGCCCCAACTGGAGCAAGAACTACGTGGACAGTCCCATCATCGTGGACAGCAGCAAGGACATCTTCTACAAGCAGCCCATGTTCTACCACCTGGGGCACTTCAGGTGGGTCAGGGGCTGCTGGCTCCTGGCTCCGGCTCCAGTGCCATTCCCGGCACCATGCTCAGACCCTGCTTCTCCCCACAGCAAGTTCATCCCCGAGGGCTCGCAGCGTGTGGGACTGGCCGTCTCCAAGAAGTGCCACCGGTGTGACCTGGAGCACTCGGCTTTCCTGCGCCCCGACGGCGCCGTCGTCCTGGTGGTCCTGAACCGGTGAGTGGCTCAGCCCTGCGCCCTGCTGCACGGCCCCACTGCTCCCACTGAGCTCCATCCCCTCTCTCATTCCCCTCAGCTCCCCCACGGATGTGTCCTTCGGGATCTCTGACCCCCGGGTCGGCTTCATCGAGGCCACGGCTCCCAGTGACTCCATCCAGACGTTCCTGTGGAAGCAGCCAGCCTAGTGCAGCTGCTGGAGGAGCAAAGTGCCAGCACTGGGAGCACGGTGCTGGTGGGGGCTTGGGGATGGGACCCCCATGAGGCTGGGGCTGCAGCAGAGCCCCTGCAGCCCCCTGTGCCCCAGGGGACCTGTTTGATCCAGGAGCTGTGACGCCTGCGCTTTTCTAGATGTTTTCATAAAATAAACAGGTTTTCTAAAACCTCGCCTGCACCCCCACCCCCCTTGGTGCCAGCTCAGCAGGCAAGCTGTGCCAGGGATGGAGTGGGCAGGTTTGGGGCTGATGGCACCTCCTGAGCCCCATGGAGTCCTGCCCTGCCTGTCCTGCCCTGTTCCTGAGGGCATCCTACGGGGTTGGTGCTCCAGGACGCACGAGACTTTCACCCCAAGCAGTGGTATCTCCCTCCTGTCTGCAGCATCCCCAGGGCAGGGCCTGAAGCTGGCAGGGACTGCAGACCAGGAGCAGCCAGGACCCGCAGTCGGGATTTAGTGCAGAGCTCTGGCGTCGGCAGCTCCGGTTTCTCCCCGGCCAGAGCAGGCGGCTGTGGTTTCTGCTGCCGGAGCAGCCATCAGCCCCTCCAGCTAATGGGAACCGGGAGCTTGGGGCACATACTTCCTGAGTGACGTTATGGGGGAGCGGGCTCGGACTGGGGGGGCTGCACTGAGTCATCCCCCTCCCAGCGGGGCCCCTTGAACTGGGCCAGTACGGGGGAGGCTCCGCAGCTGCCCAGCACCGCAGCTCCGCTCCCGCACGGCGCAGGGGCCCCCCGGCCATCGGGGCCGGGTGGGGGGCACGTGGGGCGCGTGTCCAGGAGCTCAGCCCGGGGACATCCAGCCACCGCAGCAGCAGGGCCGGGATGCCGGTGGCGGCGGCAGCCGGCGGCCAAACAAGCGAGGGCTGTGTGCCGGGCTGGCCCGGCGCCGCCGTTTCCATCTGCGCTCTCGTAAACCCGCAGTGGCCGGCAGGGAACGGCGGCAGCGCGGTCAGCGCCGGGGGCCAGCCCCACGCCGGGTGGCCCAGGAGACCACGGGGGGCACAGGGAGCCCGAGTGGCTGCCCCCCGACCCCGCTCACAGCCCGCGAGCCCGCGGCGGGCAGCCCACACTCGTCGCGGGACGCGCTCCCGGCCGTGCCAGCCGCGGGAGCTCCCGGCGCTGGCAGGCGTGGAGGAATGCAAACACATGTCAGCGCCGGAGGGATCCCGGCTGCTGGAGCTGGGCTCCGGGTGTCCCGCCGGCAGCAGGGAGTGCTCCCGGGTCTGGGGACGTGTCCTGACGAGCAGCTCCGGCCGCGCTGGTTTCATGTCCCCAGCTGTGCTGCTCTCGGGGCAGCCGGGCTGGCAGCAGCGTGAGCCCCACAGAATCTGCCCAGAGGGACTCCACATTGGAACGATGTGGGCTCAGCCCCACAGCTGCAGGAGAAGGGACAGGGAATGCAGCTGAGACACCACAGATGCTTTTAGGTTCCCCCCGTGCCCAGTCCCCAGTGAGACCTGGGCCTGGGGCCAAGGGCAGAGCTGGGGGCAGGACATGCTGGTGCCCGCTGCAGCACTCCAGCCTGGGCAACTGGGGAAACTGGGAAGGACCCCGAGCGCGCCGAGAGGACAAGAGGGAGGTTTATTGGCGTGGCAGGGACACTCCCACAGTGAGGGCCGTGGTTCCTGGTGGGACAACGAGCGGAGCACCCAAGGGGAATGATGCTGCCAGGCTCCTGGTGTAAAAACAGTCAGTTCCAGGGGGCTGGGGGGTGAGACGGTCACACAGCTCATCCTCACTCCTCCTCCTCCTCCTCTTCCTCCTCCTCCATGGCGATGGGCTGCCGGCCGGCCGGCCCCACGCCGCCGCGCTGGATGGACACGATGCCGCTGAGGAAGGCGTAGCCCAGCATGGCCACCAGCCCCACCAGCACCGACAGCAGCTGGTTGCGCCGTTTGTGGGGGTCCTCCTCTCCCTCACTGCTGTCTGTGCCCGCAGCCCGTGGGGCACCGGCCAAGGGATCAGCTGGGGGAACAGAGCAGGGATGAGAGGGGGGAAAGGTCACCCCGAGCCCGCAGGGTGAGGTGGGGGGCGGCCCTCACTTCCATCCCAGGGGAAGTAGAGGCTGAGGATGGAGGTGCAGTAGTTGCACAGGTTCTGCAGGGACTTCAGGTGCTGCTGCAGTTTCCCGTTGGGCAGCTTCGCCTTCAGGAGCGGCGCCAGGCGGCTGAAGACGAAGGCGTCGAGGGAGGCTGGCCTGGGGCACAGAGAGCCAGGGCTGGGCCACTGTCCCCACCCAAAGCCACACGGACACACCGGCCACCCCCCAGCGCCCTGGGGGATGGCACACAACTTCCCGTCCTTGGGAGGGCACTCTGCCTCCAGCCCAAGGTGAGGATGGGGAGCAGGATGATCCCATCCCAGACCACTCCCACAGCCTGAATTCCTCACTCCCTGCTGCCTGGAACAGCCCTGTCCCACCCGCAAAGCAGTGCACAGGGGCTGTGACTCCCCTGCAGACCAGGGGAGGCTCAGCTCTGCCAGGGTGTGGTCAGGCCCCTTCCCCTGCTCCTTCTTCGGCCACTCACGAGTCTCCGAAGAAAAACTTCTGGGAGCCGAGGCGCTGGGAGAGGAGTGTCAGGCATTCCCGGGCTTCCCGATAGAGCTGCAGGAGGAGGAGGAGGAGGACAGAGGGTTGTCACCCACCCAGGCACTGCCACGGTGCTCAAGGGAGCTGGAGGGCAGAATCTCAGACCCCAATTTGGATTTTGGCTTCACATGGATCCCCTGGGCACCACCCAGGACCTGCTGTGCCCAGACCTCATATCCCTCACCTGCTTCTCCAGCTTCTCCTCATCCTCCATGTAGTCGTCCCCCCACAGGAGCTGCAGCCGCTCCAGGTGCCGCTTGTGCATGGAGTTGGGCAGGAAGAAGTTGAGGGGGAAGGGGATGGTCTCCGCGTACCATTTCCGCGTGTGCTCCACGTAGTTCTTCGCATCCACCCAGAACGTGTGGATCTGTGGTGGAGAACAACCCGCGGCCCGGCCACGGCGGGGCTGCAGCCAGGGGGGCTGGCACACCAGAGCCCCTGCCCAGCACAGCCACCCCAGAGATCGTGAGGGGCTGCGGGAGCATCGTGGTGCAGGACAGACCCCAGCCCTGGCTGCACAACCCACCCCCACCCCGATCCCTGCCACGCCAGACCCCCGGGACGCTGCTGCCGGCAGCGCGCTCCGGCTCCGCAGGCGGGTGGGCACACACCTGAGCCCACTGGCACGTCTCCAGGGAGCAGACCCCATCCTTGGCCAGCCCCCCTTCCCCATGGCTCCCCCCTGAGCCTCACCAGCACCGGCAGCAGCTTCTCCTCCAGCAGGGACACGAAGGCCAGCGTGTCTGCGTTCTGCGTGGCCGACAGGTCGTAGTCGGCGTTGTACTTCTGCAGAGAAAACACCACGTGCTGAATCCTGCCAGTGGGAGACACGACAGAGGCCCCTCCTCCTCGAGGGGCTCTGGTGCCCCCCAGCCCGGGGCAGGGGGTGCTCCACATCCCCCCGTACCTGTTTCCTGAGGTGAGTTATGATCTGCTGCGTTTTGGAGATGGTGCCCTCGTCCTGTGTCCTCAGCGCGGGCAGGTGCCCTGTGGGCAGGGGGAGTGGGGGCTGCAGGTGCCGTGCCTGGGGGGCACCCTGGGCAGGCAAGGGGTTGGGGGGGGGAGAGCTGGGACAAGGGGAAGGGCTCCCACACCCAGGTGAGGGGTGGGAGGCAGAGGGAGAAGTGCTTGTAAGGGGTGGTGGGGGGCACAGGGGTGCAGGTGAGGGGTGGAAACCGTGTGTGATGGAAAATGAGGATGAGGGGGATGCACTGGGATGTGGGTGCGGGTGACAGGCAGGGGGGTGTAATGGGAAAAGGGAGAACAATGAGGTGCAATGGGACAGGGTGGGCAGTGGGGTGCGAGGGTGCAGGGGGGCACAGGAAAGGGGGGTGTGATGGGGTGCAATGGAGTGAAGCGGGTTTCCAAAGGGACATGGGGTGCGATAGGATAAGGGGGTGCAATGGGGTGTGAGGGTGCAACGGGACAGTGGAGCTGTGATGGGACAGGGTGTGATGGGATGAGGGGGCTGTGCTGGGGTACAGAGCGGTGCAGTGGAGTGGGAGGGTGCAGGGGGCCCACAGGAAAAGGGGG